TACCCGGATTTTAGGCACATCTCAGATAGTGTTCTTGCTGCCAAAGACATTACTTATCCGATACCATTCCACCAAGGTAAAGCCTGTCAATCTATCACTATTACAACTCTGCTTTCTCTTGTTGGATTAATGATGAATGTCCTTGATTATATATGATTTTCTGATTTTCAACTAGGCCTTGACAGAGACAGAAACTGAACATTTCGTGAAATGCCAGATGCATTTGACCTGATGAATAAGAGGCTGCTAATTGATTTTCAACGAGGAACTATAGACATGCTAGTAAGAAGGAAGAATAGTTTTCATTGAAGGTAAGAATAAGAGAGGGCGACCAACATTACCATGGAAATGATGCAAGAATGATGTTGATTTTGTTCCGAAGTTCAAAACCACAACCACAATCAAAAGATTTTACAGTTGTCTCAATGACAAGTGATAATTTGTGCATGGATCACTTCTTTATGGGGGACAAAAGAGTAATTGAAATTTACGCTTCAAAATATTCCAGTTATCTATTAAGTACCACAACAAGAAGGCAAAGGATGTCAAAATGTCACATCATTTTATAGACCAAGGTCTGATCCACAGAATCATATCATAAAAAAATCAAATTTAGAAAATAAGACGAACTTCTTAAAAAAAAAAAAATACAATATTTTCTAGCAATGAGTAATGTCCAATTTTCTGTGCAAGCAGTCAAATGGTGACAAATGTCATGGTTTTGAGTTCTAAATAATGGAAGCTTACATAAACTTCACCTTGGATCTTCTACGATGCTCAAAATCAACGCTAAGGTCCAAAATGAATATAAGATTTTGTTACATGGAGATGCTAATGCCAGGAATGTTAAACCAACATGAGCATGATAAACAAAATTTATATATACAAGCTGAATAGGAAAAATAAACAAACAACAAATTGATGCTATCACATTTACTGAAAAATATATATATTTGATGCTATCACGCTGTTATCGAAAACAGAACGATATTAAGCCCTGACCATATTTTCATTCATAGCAAATACTATAAGCCTTTGACTTTTTATTTAACAAACCAAGAGCTTTTGGTTTAGCCATTCACAGCACAATAAGCCAAGACCATAGGTGGAATTTGATTCAAGGAAGTTTGCAAATTAACTACTTCTGCATGCATCAGGCACTAAAGCTCATTAATTACAACCATTGCCTACATTTACAAATTCATGATTCAATAAATACAAAACTTCAGCAGAAATCTCTTCCGAACAATTCGTTATGAATATTTGTTATCGTCCATTGAAATCAAAAGAACTTTTACACGCAATGCAAGCCTGTTGCAGGTAATTACTAGAAGAAACCACACTTTAATTTAGTGATTCGAAGAATAATATAGGAATATGCAAGTCGATACACATTGCATTAGCACAACATGCGTCTTTTATTAAGAAATCCTTATCACAAGATTTTATAACATACAAACAATAATGTGAAGGCACCCTTGACACAGGTCTGGCAAGACTTGTTTTTAAGAGAAATTCTGCTCCGAGCGAGATATTTCCTTTTTCTTTTTCCCTAACAAAAGAGATAATTGAAGTAATGCAAACCTTAGGTTTCCGCACTAACAGTTACAGAAACCTTTTGAAAGAGAACTTCAAGGCTTAAAACTTTGATTAATTATTATATCTATCATCCCTTAGATCCTTTGAGTAAGAAACTGCTAAGTGATGCTCTCTGTTTGGTTCACTACCAAAAGTGATTAACTGTCATGTAAGAACTACAACTTTGACCTTGAACTCCAGTTTCCCATCTTTACAACAATTGGCAATGCAACATCGGATTTGAGTTTCTTAGGAAGTGTATTTTCGCACTAACGAAAATTATCTCCTTCATAAATTATTAGAAACCAACTTGTCAGATTCACATTTTACCTCGATTTTCATTTTCTAACCCAAATCTAACAATGGAGAGACATCTACTAGTTTGAAGAATTCTCTATTGAATGGGGCATCAATCTACATCAACAAGCAACAAGTAAAGGAAGAAAGAAATTATCTAGCACTTCCTTTGGATACTGATTGAAATTGTGTTGCTGTGACATAAGAAGGATAGCTATATTGATTCGGTAGCCTCTAAAGGCGCCCTCGGTACAATATTGACGATTTCAGAAAGATTCAATTTACTGATCTCATTTTTTACGGAATCAATCCCCCTTTGCTGTACAAGACTGTGGAATGGAAGCAAAAGTTCCTAGATTCCTGGCAATATAGGACAACATATAAGTTATCATGCTTTCATGTCCATCATTTGAGTCTCCAACAATCATTTTAATAACTACATATCAGATTTATGGAAGAATTTTGAGTAATAGCAATGAGATTCCCTAATATCATGCTAAGAATAGCTAAAATTTCCAGAAGATGTCAATCATTTAATGAGAAATAAAAAGGAATATCAAAAATTTGAGTAGCATCAGTCGCTGGTCCAAGAGATTGATCAGCCACACTGGGACTGAGACACATGGCCCAGACTCCTACGAGAGGCAGCAGTGAGGAATTTTCCACAATGGGCAAAAGCCTGATGGAGCAAAGCTGCTTGGAGGTAGAAGGCCCACGGGTCGTGCTCAATCCGCCATTATAATAATACAAGTACAGTATTAAATAGTAAAAACCTCATACAATTGATCTTTTCACTATTCAGATTGTGAACATCATGGGAAAAATTGGATTCAAATTCAATTGTCATCTGCCCCTATCAGAAATAGAATTGACTACGGATTCAAGCATAGCACACGGTTTCATAAAACCACACGATTTTCTCGATCTAATCACCCACCACCACCACCCCCCCCCCCCCCCCCCCCCCCTCCCCTCCTTTAGGTTTCATAAACCTCCATTGACATAACTCTCAAGTGGTATTAGAGCTTAGCATCTGGTATCATTATTTTAACATTTATTTTCATGCATTTATATCACTTCAATATCATACATCTACATTATTTTTTTCACTTTCTATAGAAACTATTAGTTTATGGTTCATGTTATTAAAAGAAGTTCTAAGTTATAAAATCCATACCAAGATTATATATGATTGCAGTTGGAAGTAAAGTCATGGGTGTACCCTATGATTGGTTGTTTGTTAATTAACAATTTGCAATAGTGAAACAGCGTACACTTCCTAGATTCCGCGAAAAATGAACGGATTTAAAAATCCAAATGTATAAGCCACTTTAAATGTATATATTTTTTCCACTCAAATTTGGATTTCCCTTTCCATTTTTCAAATTCATTTACATACATTGGCCATACCAATATTCAAATCAAATTATGATAAATTTGACCAAATATTATGTGATGGAGATCAAAATCTGTCTTGTATGCATGAGCTGCACATGAATCTAACCTATGCTTGGAGGAAAGGCAAGGATAGATAGATCTTAGAGCTTTTCTATATATTTTAGAAATTATATAAATATGAGTTAGTTTTACAATATTTCCTTTAAATCAGTTTTAGGTTCAGCTTGCCTATAAATAAGGTCGGCTATCTTGCAGCTTTGCTGAAATTAAGCCTTTTTAGCTTTCAGCATAGGCACAGCTACATTAGGATTCATGGCAGTCATTCTTGACTTCTATGTATTTGTAGCAGCTATATAGCAACAATCTTGGACTTAGGTTTGTGTTGGATTGCGTATAAATAGTTGGGCACATGTATTGTATTGAGTACCTTTTGATGATTGAATAATATTGAGTATTGAATTGCAGAGTCCTTATCCCCCAATTTCTTCTTGCACCCTCTCTACTTTCTTCTCTCTTCTCTCTCTTCTTCTCACTCTCCTTCTCTCTTATGGTTCTACATCACTCACATTACCCATCCTACATCAGTTGGTATTAGAGCTCACTACCCACCCACCCACCCTTCATCATTATGTCAAATACGTAAAAAAATTAAATTAACTTTCTCTTTCTTTTAATTTGGCCAAAGTTTTGAGATTTTTAGGCACATTTTAGAGTCCAGAAAAATTATGCTACATCTGCCACATTCTATTGTTAATTTTTTTTTTTTCCAGCAAGCAATCTATACAAGTTTTTATTCCTAAATTGGCTAGCTCACTAATATTTTTTAGCTTTAGTGTTTGCTAAAAACAAATATTTTTAAACTTTAGTGTTTTCTACAAACCTGAAAATAATTTTCTTTAACCAATATTATTATATTAACACTAAACAAGCTAACTGTTACCCAGTGAGAAAGGAAAATAATAAAAAATAATAATTTGTCCTATGATTTGATGGAGTTTAGATCACTTTTAGGTGTTCGATGTATTTCAAATTTATCTTTTATAAATCCTGAATTATAAACTTTGGCACAATAATACACTATTTCTTCAAATGTTACCCCAAATGTATACGACGCATTTAGCTTTCAGCAAGATACTTACTATATAACCAAAGACTCTGTTCTAGTATACTTCCAAAATAGAAGGTTGAGGGTAAAAATATATATATGTGTGTGTGAGATTCTTGCCATGGTAAAATATATATATATATATATATATAGATATATATAAAGAAAAAGATACTATAAATTTCTTTAGCAAAATGAAAACGAAAATAAGACAAAAATAGTTTCGTTTTGGTATGTGATCAATCAATTTAACCTAACCTAACAAAGCTTTTTCCCAGTTTTATTCCTTTCCACCATTACACTCTATATAGGTTCATAACATATTACTTAAATCAAATGTTATCAAAACCCATGCTATGGGTACATGGACCATTTTACTTTTTGTAACCAAGCAAAGGCCCATTCGATATATGCATATACATACATATATATATATATATATATATATATATATATATAACAATGTTGATGGAGAGTTTACAAAACACAGCTTATATACAAAGCAGAAATTGAAGATGCAGAACCAGATTGTGGTTGTCAGACACAAGTAATTGGTGTGCCTTGTGATTTCAAGATTTTGCTCGGAATTTTGGGGGGTTTTAAATGATAGCACACTCACAAATTACAAAAGGAAATCAAGCACAAATAGGGAATAAAGCCAACAAGAAGATCTAAACATGTTTCAACATAGATAAAAAAAATAAATAAAGCTTTCATAACCACATCATCATCGTCATCAAACACAAGGTTTTCTGGATTGCAAAACCACAAAATGTAAAGCGAATAATATAAATTCCAAAGCTTACCAGTTCTTCAGCACAATTCCAAAGCTTACCAGTTCTTCAGCACTAAGTCTTCAATTCTGATCTCCTTCCAAGCAACAATTTTTATTTACAAGCTCTTTCTCCTTAAAATATACTAACAACTCCGATAGGTTGTTTTTATTTTCCGAAGGTAATGTTGAAAGTAAAGATATACCTGTAACAAGGACCAAAGGAAATGAGAACAACAAAGCCACCTCATTCTATAAGTTTCCTAAAGTAACCGTCAAATATATGCGAAGTCAAGTTTCTATTTCTGTTTCTTTCTTCTTCTTTTTTTTCTTTTTTTTTTATAAAAGACGAACTCACGAATCCACTTTGTTTCAGTTGGAATTTGAACCTTCAAACTCTTGTTGAGAGTTAAGACAGAAAAGTCAAATGGAAGGAAGATATTATGGTGCCAAAATGTAAACTTCTTCAATTATAGACTTACCAAAGTCGGTTTTTTTTCACTATTAGCTAATTCTTCCCTTGACAAAAAAGGGACAAATGGGACTGTTGGAGTATATTATTATTGGAACCTTATTTAAATTACTCCTTGACAAAATATAGCTATGAGATTTGTTGCCATATTTGATTTGACCTTCTGCGTAATTCCTTTATTATAAAATACTTGTAAAGCAAGAATACTTGTAGAACAAGTATTTTCTATTATTTAGCTACAAGTCTTTCTCATTTCACCCATAAATAGAAGTGATCATTGTATACCAAAATAAAGAGAGTATAATAAAGATATGTAGCCCTTTGGGGCTTTGTGTGCCGTGGATGTTAGCCTTAGTGGCTGAACCACGTATATCCTTGTGTTCTTCATTTTCTATTTCTCTGATGTAGAAAAGCTTGTTCACGAGTATCTGAGCATACAGGATCACCGCAAATAAGGGGGGCTGAAAAGGTGAGGGGACTAGAAGAACAAAATAAATAAGGGAAACTCAACAATAGAAAAGGGAAAAGTTGAAAATAAACAAGAAGATTGGTGATGGAGTTCACAATAGGCAACAACATGATTGGTGCAGTTGCCAACAATAGATAGCTTGATTGAAGAATTATTCTCCATTGCAAGATTTAAGGAGGATTCTGCTCCATCAAATCTCAGCAAATATGTGATTGATTTTCCCTTTAGTATTATTTCACGGGGTGCTTTATTATTATTATTATTATTTTTTGGCTTGCCTGTATAAAGGCAAGAGATATAAGTTTGCAAGGAGACATTTATCAATATAATTTCAAGTTTTCTCTCTTGTGAGTGTATTCTTTGTGAATTCAAGGGTTTTAACCTTATTCTTTATCGTTTCCGCTACGTTAGTTGGTATCAGAGCAAGGTTCTGAATCCAAGATTCGCCTTTGTTTCGATGGCTGGTTCATGAGATGGAAGCAACCCCTCCAGCAACAGTGATTATGATGAAGTAGTTCTTTTGAGGGTCGATGGAGAATATTATTATAGGAACACTTATTTAAATTACTCCTTGACATAATATTGCTATAAGATTTGTTGCCATATTTATGTTTGACGTTATGTGTAATTCCTTTATTATAAAATACTTGTAAAGCAAGAATACTTGTAGAGCAAGTATTTTCTATTATCTAGCTACAAGTCTTTCTCATTTCACCTATAAATAGAAGTGATCGTTGTATACAAAAATCAAGAGAGTATAATAAAGATATGTAGCCCTTTGGGCTTTGTGTGCCGTGGATGTAAGCCTTAGTGGCTAAACCACATATATCCTTGGGTTCATTTTCTATTTCTCTAATGTAGAACAGCTTGCTCACGAGTATATTTACAGTTTAGTGAGACAATGTTAGAAAATCTTCAAACCGGGAATGGGCATTTGTGGGGAACTACGTCTAAGTTCCTTAGAACCCTTTGGGATGTTAGCAAATGATCAAAGTAGATTGAATGGACCTCATTGGACTTGGTTAATGTCAAATTTTCCCCTTCCTTGTCTAAAATGACTATTTTACCCCTAGTAAACCCTCGGGTTCGGATAAGGATCCGAACTTGCTTTCTATGCCCGTTAATGACTCGGATCATCCGGGGTTGGGTCGTTACAACAGAAAATTTCCTCACTCTGATACCATGCTTGCATTCAAACCTCTAATTGAGAGAATACTTTGTTACTTTACTGAATAGAATTACATCACATAAATATATAATTTTACGTCTAAAAATAGCCTAGGATAATAGTACATACAATCTCCTAATTTTGACAGGAAAAAGTCAACTAAACTAATATGGAAAAAAAATCCTAGACAATCAATTTTACAACTGTACATTTGTGCCAGCCTATACAGGCTGGAGATCTTCCAGAATCTGTCATGCAAGTTGGCAGATTTTCCAACAAAGAATTATTCTCCATTGCAAGATTTAAGGAGGATTCTGCTCCATCAAATCTCAGCAGATATGTGATTGATTTTCCCTTTAGTATTATTTCATGGATTTTTTTATTTTTTTTTTTTTGACTTGCCAATATAAAGGCAAGAGATGTAAGTTTGCAAGGAGACATTTATCAATATAATTTCAAGTTTTCTCTCTTGTGAGTGTGTTCTTTGTTAATTCAAGGGTTTTAACCCTGTTCTTTATTGTTTCCGCTACGTTATTCTCTCTTCAATTTTGACATGGACCTTTCTTGAAACATACCTAAAAGCAGCTTTGCTTGGGATTTACTGGAGATTCGTTTGAAAGCTGTTTGATTACTTCTAAGACCAGCTCAAGAATAAATTAGTGAAGAGTAAATCATCTATGATGAATGCTGTAAAACCAGACTTTGATGAAACAGTTACAACTACATATGCTAGCTCTAGGAAATAAATTGCTCATAAGGGAGATGATGATGAGCCCTTCCTGGCAAAATTAATATATCTTTTGTGGCTATAGCATTAGAACAAACCCTCCAACAGAAGAATCTACCTATTGAACTGTGGTGCCGATACATCTCATGTTCAAGAACTCTATCCCACTTTTGAAGTTCTATAAGCAAGAACATGCAAATTGGACCCCTTAACATATGCGTCCTAGCCTTTTCTATTGTTTCAGCGCATTGATTGGAAGTCGTCCACATTGTCTTGAACATAAAAGGGACCCTTTTTGAAGACTCCAAATCCATCATGGCTATGAAATAATCTGCTCCAATAGAGGCTTTATGGAAATTTTGGACAGGACTAATTTGCTTTCTCCACTAAACATGGCCAAAATATGGTTTGCTCTTACACTGGCTTCCCTAGTATGGTTATTTCTGGTTATTTGAGCAGGTGTATTTCGATCAGATAGCAATAATAATAATTAATAAAGGGCACTAATATCTTCAATTTTCTTTGCTCCATTTCCTTTTCCCACTATTAAGCCAATCACATTCAGATTGTCCATGACAACACAAGGTGAAGCCATAACAAAGGCCATGTTTGATGTTTATTGGCACAAATCCTTTTGTGAAAATAGTGTGCTTCTACTTATTCTTAATGTCTAACTCTACTTCACTCATCATAGAACCAAATGATCAAAATGACCTTCTGAGTCAATATAGCTATGCGAAGGAATTTCAGGCTCCCAACCATTTTTCCAAGCTTTGGTGGTTTTTTCTTGGTGTTCATAGATACGTTAGAACTGGGCGATGGACTAGACAAAGCTCTGGCAATGTCTAAGCTGTCAGCATCGGCAAGTTCCTTGGAAGTACTAAGATACCATTAAAAATGATTGTGTGGCTGTTCAAAGCCAGCCAAAAACCACCTATATTTTTTTGACAAGTAGCCACAAAGCACCTATATAGAATAATTACTCTCTATTATCCTTTAAATCTCTTCAGTAAGAGGCCGCTAAATGATACTCTCTGTGGTTCACTACCAAAAGTGATTAACTGTTGAAGAAAAACTACAAAATATATATGATTTGGTCTTGAACTCCAGTTTCCCCATCTTTTCAACAATTGGCGATGCAACGTTGGATTTGAGTTTCTTAGGAAGTGTATTTTTGCACTGACAATATGACGGCGACAGTTGAATTCATCCAACCAACCTAATTTTTAGCAAATAAAATGCTCCCATAATAAGGATTGGATATTAGTGAAGACCCTGATTTTGTAGCAAGTGATTCAACAAGTCATAACAGATACTTTTCTAATAAAAAGCATATATTTCTCTGCTCCATTACTTCCCAAGTTCTAGAAAACTGCAGCAGTAAAAAATTTTGCAGTTCATTTCAATGAAAGTGATAATTGGTGCAGCAATGAGAAGGATGTGAAAATGTCACCATAGGACTACTGGCTGAGGATTGTAAAATGCTTGCTTGTCATGACTTGTAATGGTACCTGATATATCTCTGAACTTTTCAATTTTCTATTGCTGTAGTACACTCTCCTTGGTAATATCTGATCTTGTTAAGCGAGTGTTGGGCACTCCTTTGTGCTCAAATAGAGCTCCAGGCTTTGACAGACAGAGAAACTGGATCTCTTTGTGGCCTCCCATGAGTGGCAACTAAGAACTACAAAGCATCAGTCTGGTTTCTGATACGTACTTCACTACAATTGAATGTAAAAGGCTCTCGTGAGCCACAAATTCTCATTAGCCATACTCCTAATTTATACGACAGACTGAATATTATATAAGTGGAAAGTAAATCAAATCGCTGATCCTATGCCTCTAATAGGCACATGATGAAAATAATATCATATAAAATCAAATTAAGAATAGATAATCCCTAAAGATACTCCCGATACAGATCAAATCCCTATATTTTCTCCCAATAGTCCCCCTCAAGCTGGAGCGAAGATATCAACTAAGCCCAGCTTGCCAATACCAGAGTGAAGAGCAAATTGTCCTACTGACTTTGTGAACATATCGGCAAGCTGATTAGTAGAAGAAACGAAGGAAGTATGGATAACTCCACATCGCGCTTTCTCATTGACAAAGTGAATATCAACCTCAATATGCTTTGTCCTCTCGTGAAGAACTGAGTCAGATGCGAGCATAATAACAGACCGGTTATCACAGAAGAGAGTTGATGAACTAAATACAGGAATCCTAGCTCGGTTACTAGGGAATGAAGCCCAAAACATAGTTGTTAAAGGCTCAAGGCACACAAAAGCACAAATGCCTCCTGGAGCCTGAGGCGTAAGGCGCAAGGCGCAAGGCGAGGCGCGCGCCCTATTAAAGCGAGGCGCGCGTTGGAAAAATAAAAAATAAAACCCACCCAATAAAGTATTAAAGATGCAATAGTATATATAAAGATGTAAAAGTCAACTAAATGAATTACTTAAGTTAAATATTCAACATAAAGATGCCAAAACCAAGTAAATCAAGTACTTGAGTTCAACAGTGATTCAGTGAATAATCAAACATATTAACATAAAGATACAAAAGTCAACTAAGGAGAAATATAAGATAAAACTAAAACAAATGTAAACATTATTTCTTCCTAAGAAGACAACACCAAGTCACCAACGAATCTAAATATCATCCTCTTCATCAATAAGCATAACATCATTTTGATCGTCACTAAATGATTCATAATTCTCAGGATCCTCTTCTATCTCATCTGAATCATCCTCATCCTCATCCTCATCCACAAGTTGAACTGGAGAACTTCCTACTCCCTTTGTTGGTAACCGTGAACTAGAACTAGATTTTGATCTAGTAGACCGTTGCGGCCTGCTAGCCTCTCCAATACCAGCAAAATTAGCAACATCACCCCATGTCAAGGAATCATCTTCATAGACTAGATCATGTTCTGCATCAGAATCATCCATCCTCCCCGTCAACCACTCGTTGCTCTCATCAATGTCATCGAGTAAAATGGGATCAAGAGTGTCACGCATATTATATCGATGCCTCAATGCTCTATTATATTTGATGAACACTAAATCATTCAACGTTGTTTGAGCGAGCCTATTTCTTTTCTTGTTATGAAGCTGCAATAAATTCAACTTTAACTAGTAAGTATAAAAAATTAAAATTTTAATTTTCAACAATTAAATTACAAACCTAGTTAGTAAATAGTATATACTTACATGCTCAAACACGCTCCAATTTCGTTCACAACCAGAAGAACTGCAAGTAAGGCTTAAAACCTTTATAGCAAACTTTTGGAGAAGTTTTGTTGACTTACCATAAGCTTCCCACCAATTAGCTATTAAAAAAAATTAATAATGATGTTTAGCAAATTTAGCTTCATCATTTTAACACTTAGCTATACTAACTTAATATACTTTACCACTTGACCTGGTGCTCGTGTACTTCTCTGTCTAATAGCAAAGCGATTACCAAAGAGGCCCTCAGCTTTAGAATATAAGGACAGCTCCTCAGTAATTTTGTCTTGGTCTTTGTCATCCGGGACTAACCTTGCAATGCATGCATACAAACCCTTTGCAATCTCTTCATCTTCTTCAATTTTTGGATTTGAATAAAAGTATTCTGGGTTCAAATAATAACCTACTGCATGCAAAGGGCGATGAAGTTGAACATTCCACCTCTTATCAATTATTTCAAAAATATTTGAGTATTTATCTTCTACTCCCCCAAATGATTTTGCAATGGCTTCTTTAGCCCTATCCATAGCCGCATAAATGTATCCCATGGGAGGCTTTTTCTCACCATCAGCTAATCTCAAAACCGGAATAAGAGGACCGGAAACCTTAAGGCTAAAGACAATGTTGTTCCAAAAGGAAGGCATCAAAACATAAGAAGCAACTCTTTTACCGGCTTCCTATTTCGCCCATTTACTACGATTCCATTCTTCTGAAGTAAACATCTTTCTCAAGTTATTCTTTTGCTTGTGAATACTTAATAATGTGATGAAACATGTAGCAAATCGAGTCTTAGCGGGCCTAAGCAACTCCTTTTTATGAGTAAAGTTCCTCATAATGTTCAACAACTTTGAACGCATATAAATATAACTATTCAACTCCACTGCCCTCTGCATTGTTCTAGAGATGGACGGTATTTTCCCAATGTCTTCTTACATCAAGTCTAAGCAATGAGCAGCACATGGTGTCCAATACAAATGTGGGTGTTCTTTCTCTAACATCCTCCCTATTTGAAACCAAACGGAAAAAAGAAAAAAATGATATAAAGAGAATGAGTAAATCAAAAAAGATTTAAATTATATATTTGTAAAGAATGTAAACTCTAAAAGTTATAAACATTGAACATTCTTACCGGCATACTTATTGCTTGATTCACTATCTGTGACGACTTGGACGACATTTGCTACTCCAATGCGGTTCACAAATTTATTAAGTAAGTCAAACATCTTTGCACCATCCTTTGAAAAAGAAGAAGTATCTATCGATTCAATAAACATGGTTCCCCTTGGACTATTTACTAGGAAATTAAGTAATGTTCTCCCTCTCTTGTCTGTCCACCCATCTGCCATTAATGAGCATCCAAATTTTGACCACTCCTCTCTATGGTCATTCATCAAAGCATTGGTATTATCCAATTCCTTCCTAAGCAAAGGAACTCTCACCTCATGATAACTAGGTGGTTTCATGCCAGGACCATATTGTCCAATTGCTTCAACAACCTCAGCAAAGCTATCATACTTAACAGCATTGAATGCAATTCCTGCATCATACATCCACCTTGCAAAAGTAGCACACGCTCTTCCTCTCAACTCTTTCTTGCATGCATCATTAATGGTTGTTTGTTTTCCCCCCTCCTTTCTTTTTTGTACCACAATTTCCGGTCTGGGAGTGAAATATAAATCAATCAGTCCCTTTTGCTTTTGCATCTTTGAGGAATTGACACTAGCACTGCCACTACCTACACTAGCTACCCTTTTTCCCCAATTGTTAACTTCCATAGCATCATCCTCATCCTCTCCATCAATGAAATTAATTTCATCACTAGGTAACAAATTCATTTGCTCTTTTTCTTCCTTTTTCTTACTCATGTACTCTTTGATTTCTTCTCTAACACTAGATGGGCATCTTGTGCATGCACTCACATTTCTATACCCTCCAACTAAGTGTTGCTTAGCCCGATAAATACCTCCTTTTGTAACTTTTGCACTAAAGTTACAAGTGACGGCATTTGTATCTTTCGGATTCTCCAAATGTGAGTAATTCCATGCCGGATCCTTTCTTAAACCATCACTAGGCATCTTTTAAAGTACAAACTACAATCAAATTCAAAATAACAAAATAATAACAAGATTAGCATCATGTAATCACTAATCAGTGTCTACGGTCTGCAACAACTATGACAGAAAAAAATTACAGAGGTTCAAAGTTCAAAGAATCAAAGGCTCAAAGCAATATTAACAATTTCAGCAGCACAGAATTGTAAAGTTGTAAACTACAATTTATTCCAGCAGCACAGATTATAAAAAAATAAAAAATAAAAATAAAAGGAGAGGCTGAAGAGCAGAAGCAGAGAGAGCCAAGAAGAATAGAAAAAAAAAAAAATTTTTAAAAATAAGAGGTCAGTCTGTCAAAGAGAGCCGAGAAGAAGAAGAATTGAAAAAAAAAAATAAGATCACACTATCAGAAAGAGGCTCAGAGCTGAGAGAAGAAGAATAGAGGGGGAAAAAAAAAAAAAAAGAGCCGCAAATAAGATCAGAAATTAGAGAAGCACACTCACTTCTTGTTATAAAAAAAGGTTTTTCTTTTTATATATTTTTGTTGTGAAAGAAAAAAATAAAAAAATAAAAAAAATAAATTTCGAGAAGAAGAATAGAAAAAAATAAATAAATAAATAAAAAATATATGATTAGACTAGAGGCTGAGAGTGAGAGTCGAGAGAAGAAGAATAGAGGGGAAAAAATAAAAAATAAATAAATAAAATAAAGAAGAGCCAAGAGTCCGAGACTCGGCTCAAAGAAAAAAAAATAAAAAAAATAAAAGCAAGACTCAAGAGAAGAGACTAGAGTTGAGGAGAGGCTGGACCGCTGGACTCTGGAGACTGGAGAGCCGAGAGAAGAGAAGGAAAAAAAAAAAAAAAAACTGAGAAGAGAAGAAGAAGCAAGAAGGACTGAAGGAGAGATTCGAGAGAAGAAGAAGAAGAAGAAGCAAGGAGAACTTACCGGTGCTTCGCAGATCCGGGCTTCGCAGACGGAGACGGCAGATCCGAGCTTCCCTTGAATCCCTTCCAGTTCCGGCTTCGACACTTTGTACTTCTCTGTCTCTTCTCTGTCTCTTCTTTCCTTTTGCTTTTTGCTTTTTGATCTTTTTTTTTTTTTTTTTTTTTTTGGCTTTGTAACTTGCAAGTGATAATTAAAGATTTGCAGACTGAATATACGACTCACTGTTGAGTGTTGACTGTCCCACACAAGTCACAACCAAAATAATAATAAAAAAATAAAAAATAAAAAAATCAAACAGGCGCGCCTGTAGCCCTGCGCCCAAGTCCCAAAAGCGCGCGCCTAATACAAGGCCCGCGCCCTAAGCCTTTCAAGGCGCCAAGGTGGCGCCTCAGGCGCGCGCCTTCGGCGCCTTTAACAACTATGGCCCAAAAGATCTCACAAGTGCCCTGAGCCATGGCACGGTACTTTGCCTCTGCAAAAGAACGAGACAGAATGCTTTGTTTCTTACTTTTCCAAGAAATTAAATTGCCTCCGTGAAAAGTACAGAAACCTCAAGTAGAGCGACGATCATTCTCCAGCATAAACATCGGTGTAGCACGAGCTAAGAGGTTGTGGTGTGGATTTGTAGAATAGACCAAGTCCTGGGCAGGACTTGAGGTACCGAAGAATTCGGTATACTGCATCCAAGTGTGAGGTCCAAGTAGCATGCATGAACTAACTCACAACACTAACCGCAAATGTGAGATCAAGTCTAGTGTTTGTTAGATAAATTAAGCGGCCAACAAGGCGCTGATAAGCAGACGGATCTGGAAGAAGGTCTCAAGACTTGGCATGAAGCCGATGTGTCAAATCCATAGGATAAGAAGCAGGACGACACCCAAGCATACCAGTGTCCTGCAGGAGGTCTAATGTATACTTCCGCTGAGAGAGCGAAATGCCATGCCTAGAGCGTGCAACCTCAATACTAAGAAAAAATCGAAGAGGACCTAAGTCTTTAACCTCAAAAGCCTGTCCAAGGTCTATTTTTACCTTGTCAATGAAAGATGCATCATTTCCCGTGACGACTATGTCATCAACATATACTAAGATAATGGCACAACGATTTCCTGGACTACAACGGAAGAAGCATGTGTGATCTGAGTGACATCGAGTGAAATCCAAAGAAATAACTACATCACTGAATCGGTGAAACCATGCCCGAGGTGACTGCTTCAGTCCATATAAGGATTTTAGAAGGCGACACACTTTCCCATAATACTCCCCCTGACGCCGAAAACCAAGAGGAGGATCTATATAAATTTCTTCTGTCAAATCCCCATGAAGAAAGGCATTCTTCACATCTAACTGGTGAAGAGGCCAAGAGCAGGAAGCCACTAAGGAAATAAGAAGGCGGACAGTAGTCAGCTTGGCGACCGGAGCAAAAGTGGCATTAAAGTCCTTCCCCGGAATTTGTGTAAAGCCCTTCGCGACTAGCCTAGCTTTATATCGATTAACAATACCATCTGGTTTATATTTGACTGCAAATACCCATTTACAGCCCACAATCCTCTGTCGTTGTGGTAAAGTAACAAGCTCCCATGTCTTATTTTTCTGCAAGGCATCCATCTCAGCAGCCATGGATGCTGTCCAATGTTGGTCATGCTATACAATTCAAGGGATGGAAATAGCCAAGGTGGCAGCAAGGTAGGCCGGTAATTGTGTGAAAGTCCCTAATAAGAAACAAACTGGGCAATAGGATGATTAGTCACACAAGCCCTTTTACCTTTACGGAGAGCAATAGGCAAATCAGAATCAGAAGTAGGCGATGCAGGATCTACAATAGAAGTAGGCAAGGTAGGATCTGAAGTAGAATTAGGAATAGCAGGGTTAGGATTGCCTGTACCACAAGAGGACAGTGGCAGGGTAGCATGAGGGGGATCTCGTGGGCGACGAGTGTATACGCAAAGCTCGGGCTGAGCCACAGGAGGAGATGTTGAGGATAGAACTGGTGCAAGTCGAGCCAAGGGTGAGAAAGTTACTGATATAATAGAAAAAGACGGAACCTGCAAAAAAGATGGGCCAAAGAAGGGAACATCTTTGAAAAAAGTGACATCAAGAGAATGATATATCCGACGAGTATTAGGGTCATAACAACGGTACCCTTTCGACATAGTCAAATAGCCAAAAAAAACGCAATGAATAACTTTATCATCAAGCTTTGTACGTGTAGGATGTCAGTCTTGAACAAAACATGTACATCCAAAAACACGAGGAGTAATAGGGAAAAGGGTGTTGTCTGGTTACAAAATATGTAATGGAACCTTACCCCTTAAAGTTCGACTAGGGGTTCGATTAATAAAAAAAGCTGCAGTGAGAACCGCCATATTCCAATAAGATTGAGGAACCTGCATACCACGTAAAGGACACCGAACAATACTCATGAGATGACGGTTTTTACGTTTCGCCACTCCATTCTGTTCCAATGTATAAGGGCATGTCAACTGATGAAAAATCCCCAATTGATTAAAATGTGACCGAAAATCATTAGAGATATATTCCCTCCCATTATCTGATCGGATGGTTTTAACAATAGTATTAAACTGGGTTTTAATCATTTGTAAGAAAGAAATAAATGTAGACAATACTTCATAACGTGACTTAAGTAAATAAACCCAAGTACAACGAGCAATAAACGTCACATAATATTTATGACCAGAGTAAGAAGTAACAAGGGAAGGTCCCCATACATCAGAATGAATAAGATCAAATAAACAAGGTGTTGGAGAATTACGTGATTTATGTAATTGTTAGATAAATTTGGAAAATATTAACTGTCTGATTTTGTACTAATTATAGGCTAATATAGCTGGTGTATTAAAGTTTAGGTTGACTTATTTTATTTCCTAATCTTAGGGATTTGGTTGTATATTCCTTAATTTACTAGATTCTGATCTGATTGAATTCAGCCTATAAAGATTAGGCTGCTTTGTATTAGAAAGTCATGAAATATACTCCAGTTTTTCCCATTTTCTGTGTTATGGCATCAGAGCCCTAGGTGCTCTTTCTGGGATAAAATATTTCATTATTTACAGATTTCATAGCAGCTTGGAGTTCAGTTTTTTACAGAAAAAAAAAAAAAAACAACCGAGATGTCAGAGGTTACACAAACCAGCTCTCAATCGGAGGAGCCTATAATCCAACAACAGGTTCCTGGAGATCTACAGAACATTCAAGCTACGTATAGGCTGAATGGAACGAACTATTTAAAGTGGTCTCAACTTGTTCAAACCTTTCTGAAAGGGAAGGGCAAGCTCAACCATCTTCTTAAATGGGCCTAAGAAGGAAGATCCAAAGTTTGCTGCTTGGGACGAAGAAGACTCAATGGTCATGTCATGGCTATGGAATGCTATGGTACCCGAGATAAGTGATACTGTCATGTTTTTGATAACCGCTCAAGAGATATGGGAGGCGATCAGACCAACTTATTCGAAGAAAAATGATGTAGACCGGGTGTACGAGATCAAGGTGAAGCTAGCTGCTACAAAACAAGGGAACAAGACTGTAACAGAGTATGCCAACACTCTGAAAAACGAGTTGGACTATTACCAGGTTCTCGAGATGAAGAACAACGAGGATGCTGCGTTGTTGAAGGCTTTCATAGAAAAAGACCGAATCTATGATTTCTTAGCAGGCCTTAATCCGGAATTCGATACTGTAAGAGTTCAGACTTTGGGGAAAGGATTATCCTCCCTAAATGAAACAATTGCAACTATTCGTGCTGAAGAGAGCAGGAGAGGAGTTATGTTGGATTCGCAGCCATTAGAAGGATTAGCACTCCTTACAACCGCTGCTAGTGAGCAAACTTTGGAGAAGAAGTCTTTAGCTACTACTGATTATAAGAAATCTGACCCGAAGAGGACATTCAAAGAGAATCTGGTATGTAACTATTGCAAGAAAACTGGTCATACGAAGGACACCTGCTATAAGCTACATGGAAGGCCACAAAACATGAATCAGTCAAACCGGAATTCCGGGGGAAGAAGCTGGCAGCAAAAGGGAAAAGCCCACGTTGCACAAAATAGCACTAATAATACCAGTGATCAACCGAATTCCAGCAGCAAAGAATTCTGTAAGGAAGACATTGATCGCCTCCGATCCCTTCTTGATTCACTCGAAGAACCTACAGGTGCCTGTTCATTAGCACTTTCTGGTATGTATTCTGGTTCTCATGCTCTTAGTGTCTCAGATAATGTTTTAATCCACCCACACTCTTGGATTGTCGACTCAGGGGCAACCGAACATATGACCAACTCATCCCAATCTTTTTTTTCTTATAAACCATGCCCTAGTAATAAAAAGATCACCATAGCTGATGGGAATTTAGTCACTGTTGCAGGACAGGGGATCATATCCTTAAGACCTTCCTTGTGTCTTAAAAATGTTTTACATGTGCCCAAATTGACAACCAATCTTTTATCTGTCAAACAAATCACCAAGGATATGAACTGCAATCTTATTTTCTCAAAAAATTCATGTGTGTTTCAGGACCGAGCTTCGGGGAAGACGATTGGGCATGCTAAAGAAAAGGATGGTCTCTACTATCTCGAGCCCATGAGTGGAAAAGTGAGTACTGGAATTGGTTGTTCATCTGTGCTTCTGTCTGATTCCTCCACAAATAAAGACAAAATTCTCCTTCATCATTTCAGCTTGGTCATCCTTCCTTTAGAACTCTCAATCTTATGTTTCCTTCTTTGTTTAAAAATGTTGATTTGAAACAACTTCATTGTGATATTTGTGAAATTGCCAAACACAAACGTGTTTCCTTTCCTTTGAGCAATAATAAATCATCAGTTCCTTTTTATTTGATGCACAGTGATGTTTGGGGTCCTTCACGGGTTGCTAATTATTCTGGGGCACGTTGGTTTGTCATTTTTATAGATGACTGTACGCGGGTAACTTGGACTTTTCTCATGAAGCAAAAATCTGATGTAGCCAATATCTTTCCAATATTTCATAACATGATAAAAACACAGTTTGGGGTGAAAATTAAAAGGGTGAGGACAGACAACGGGAGATAATATTTTAACCAAATTCTTTCACCATATTTGAATCAGGAGGGAATAGTTCATGAATCCTCATGCATTGACACACCCCAACAAAATGGGGTGGCCGAAAGAAAGAATGGACATCTTCTTGAAACTACCCGTGCTCTACTTTTTCAAAGACAAGTTCCAAAATATTTTTGGGGGGAAGCCGTTCTCGCAGCCACTCATCTTATCAACCAATTAGCTACCAAAGTCTTAGATTTTAAAAGTCCTTGGGAAACACTTTCACATCATTTTCCAGATTTCCTTACTCCAAACAGGTTGTCTCCTCGGGTATTTGGGTGTGTTGTCTTTACTCATGTTCATGCTCACAATCGAAGCAAACTTGATCCCCGAGCACTTAAATTTATTTTTATAGGTTACTCTTCAACTCAAAAAGGTTACAAATGTTACCATCCGCCTACTCCGAAAACCTACATTTCAATTGATGTCACATTTGT